CACTGGCTACTGGCACTGCTGGGAAGACTGTATAGGAACAACGCGCTTCCTGGAAGCGTGCATAGGGCTGGTGCTCTGGGAAAGGCTTTAATTGCCAGTGTCCTCCATCACTGCTGATCCCACCATGGATGACCTGTGGAGGACCCGAGTTCCTGCGTGGGGATTGGCCCCCATTTCAGCAGGTTCCTGTGCTCCCAGGCTGTGGTGTCACAGGTGGGAGAGTGCCAGTGCCCTGTGAGCTGCAGGTGCTTTGACAAGAGTGTCCTGGGCGATCCTGGCCAGAGGAGGGTGTTTGGGGCAGGGAGCCAGCTGCTAGCCAGGCTGCCTCACAGTGCTGCCTGGCATCTGGGTAGCTGCAAGGGGCACCGGAGGTTGCTGCTTTCCCCTGACCAAAGACCTCTCTATGCATTTCCCCCTCCTTTCCTGCCTTCCCAGGGCAATGGCAAAGCCCCCCATGGGGAGATGCAGCTGGTTTGGTGACACCTGGTTAATGGCAGTGCCGAAATGGGGGCTGCTAGTGTGTGGTATCACTCCAAACGGAGGGATCCTCTTTTCTTCTGCTGATTTGGGGCACCGGGAAGGTGCAAAGTGTGGTGGTTTTTTTTTTTTGCCCAGCCCTCAGCTGCAGGAACCTGCAAGTGAGTGGTGTCCCACGGCAAGCGGCTTCGCTCGCCTCTTTTTTTGCTTTTTGTTTGGTTTTTTGAACTTTCTTTTGGGATATTTTTGCATTTAGCACATTTTACTTGAAATTACCTCATTTTTTTGTGACCTCATGAGCTTTTATTGATTTGGGAGGGACGGGGGGTGGCATGGCTGGGATATACCAGCTGCGTGCCCAGGGGTTGGTGGTGGAGGGGCGGTGTGGTGGTGGCGTCCCTGCCAGCCTCCCGTTGTGCATTATCCTTACCAAAACTGGTATTTTTTGCCCGGCCCTGCGGGGCTGGGGGTGTTCGTTCTGAAGCTACCTCTTGTGTTTGTTTTTGTTGTGTTTCTCCTGTGCGGCCGCGGGCTCGGTGGTTCCATCCCACGGCGCTCTTTTTTTTTTTGTCATTTTGCTGCATTTGGGTAAAAAAGGGGAGAAGAGCGTTGTGGGGAGCGGGATGGTATGTGGATACAGTTTGGAGGGACACTGATGGCTCCTGTGGGTTTGGGTGCCTGTCCCACCTCTCCTGGTGCCGAGCAGGGATACGCCTATGGGAACAGCATCCTCCTTCGCACCCCGGTCTGGCTTTGCACGTGCATGTGCCCCTGCGCGTGGGACTGCTGCTGCTCCACACAGGATGGACACCACTGCTGTACAATCCGGGATGTGACTGTGGAGAACGGCTCATTTAATTGTTGTGCCTAAGAAAAAAAAAAAAGAAAAAAATATTAAAAAGAGAAAACAGTTCTTTCACAGAGAAAGTTGCTGCAGTTTCTGGCACGCGCACGGCAGGTCCCCGTGGTGCCTCGGCACTGCTGGACACGGGTGCCACAGTGCCGCAGAGCACGTGGCTGAGCTCTTATGGTTTCTTTTTTTATTTTTTGCTTTAACCTCCCCTCCCATCCTGCTGTTCCTCTCCCTTAGTGCCACAGGCCCTGCTGTGACAGCATCAAGGTCAGTGTTGGAGTGATGCTGTCGTGTCCCAGGCGTGCATCCCCGCGCTGTTGGCCGTGGCACAGCCCCCACCACCCCTCCATATATATATATAAGTATATATATGTGTATCATAGCAGTGAGGACCAAGCGCCGCGCGGGGCCCCGCAGCCCCAGGCTCCCTCTCCCCTGGCTTGTCGTCAGTGTTGTGAGCGCCCGCCTGCCCGTCCCGTTGCTCTGTGTTGCCGCTCGTGGTTCGGGTCCGTCGCTGTCCTCGTTCCGTCTACCTCAGCACCTCTCTGAGCCCGGGCGCAGAAGGTGCCCAAGATCCCCTTTGGTTTTCTCAGAGTATCTATCGGCTCCTATTTTTTGTACGACTTTCGCCCGTCTGCCCTTGCCGTTTGCTCCCCTGCGGTTCTGCTTGTGAGTCCTCTCTGTCCTCTAGCCACAGATGCCATTAGCTAAGTTTCCTGAAAAATAAAGAAAAAGAAAAAAAAATACAAAAAAAAAAAAAACCAGTTGTGGTGTCTCCTAGTTGCAGCTCTCCGCACCTGCCTTCGTCCTGTGTAGATTCAGATGCATTTCTTTGTAAGACTTCAGTGTTTCTGACAGAGGAAAAAAAGACAAAAAAAAAAAAGGAAGAATATACTGCTGCAGGTTTTTTTCTCTCCATGTGTCACTAAGTGAAGTTCGTGCCTTCTATAGCAAAGAGAATATTTTTTACATCCTACTAACAGTAGATTTTTTTGTAGTGAACATTTTTTGTATTTTTATTTATAAGTCTCATAAGGAAAATAGCAATGTTCAGTTGTATACCTTGAAATCTGCAGTTAGAAAACAAAAAAGCAACCAATAAAGTTAATTACGTTGTCTCGGCCTGCCGTCTCCCATTCCTGTGCCAGCTGGGAGGAGGAGGAGGAAGGATGCATCCCAGGGGCTTGGGGTGAGCTGCAGGGGAACCCACAGTGGTGAGTTTGGGGGTGCCTGCTTGGAGGGGTGGTGAGGGGGTTTCTATCCCTAAACCAACCACAGTGGGTGGGGGTCCCCTGGGACGTCCCAATGGATGGGGAGCATCCCGCAGCCCTCGCCCCAGGGCGCATGGCACACTGCCGCGTGGCTCACCAGGGAGCGGAGCAAGTTTGCCTCAATGAAAGTGAGCTCGTTCATTTAAACCTGCCTGCAGAGCCGTCCGGCCCCCTGCTGCGTTAATTATCCTGTAGTTCCCGACTGATTGCTGTACACTAAGCTTAAGCCCTCCTTTATTTATTTACTGACTACATTAACAGCAGCGCCTGCTCTCCTTTTGTGCTGTGGCAAAACGCACAGCACCGCACACCGTGGCGGAGCCAGGTGGGTGCTGCCAGCACTGCCCAGCCATGCCTGTGCCCGATGGGTGTCGTCGTGCAGTTAGATGTTAATCGTGGCACCATGGCTGGAGTCACTGGGCGCAGAATGCTGCTTAGTTTTTATGAGGGATGGATGGGGTGTGCCAGGTGGCCATGTGTGCCAGTGTCAAGGCCAGGCTTGTCCTCTGCCCCAGGGCTTCCCAGTGGATTTGGGGAGCTGCATGCACACTCCAAGGTCCTGATGGTGGTCCCTGCCTCCCCCATTCCCCCCAGCACAGCTCTTCCAAGAAGGCTTTGGGCAAGTGGTGGGGAACTTTGGTCCTGGTTTGGGGCAAGCAGAGGTGGTCCTGCTGTGAACAACCTAGGGGTTGCAGTACCCTGGTAGAAGGGGAGTGAAGGCCCTTGCAGCATTTGGCCTGGCACAAAGGCGTTATAATAACAGGGAAATCGCAGTAGGACCGGGCCTTTGTGTGCACACTCGCACAGCAGCTGGGAGCGATTATGCTGCAACAATGTTCTGTTCCATCAACATTATGTCCTCATTAAACCTTTATTAGGAGATTAGATTCAGATTTATTGATTTTTTTTTTTTTAAGAGGAAAATCCAGGCTCCTCTCAGAGAGATGCCTGGAACTTTTCCCCACGTGCAGCACTTCCCAAGGTAGTGAGAGGGCAAAAGGTGAATCTGGATCTTTCCTTCAGCATAGGCAGCCTCCCCTTCCAGGGGGAAAGGACCACTGAGCTGCACGAAGGAGTTTGCTTGGGTTTGGAATGCTTCCTAGCACAGGGAAGGACAAGGACCAGGCGACCATCAACACACTCCATGGGATACAGCAGCAGAGGTGAACATCTCACAGTGCAGCCCAGGAGAGCATCCAGGGTCCTAGTCAGTAGGAGAGGAATGGCAAGGCTGACTTGGGGGTCCTGCTGTCCTGTCCCCTCCTTGAATACATGGGTTGAGTGGCATCGGACGCTCGGGTCAATGGGCCCATTGGATTTGTCTGTTGGAGCGTTTGATGTTACATGAAGGCAGCTCATTCCAGAGGGTGTTAATTGCCCGCTGCACTGATCAGGTCTGTAGCACCATCGATCTCGGCAGGATCAATGGGCTGATTTAGTGTCTCGCGAACTCTTTAACTGGACACCTCATCAATAGGCAGCCACTTACAGACCATCAGCGCATTAGTGCGGGCCAGCACCGGCAGGAGTGCGCTCCACCCGTCCTCAGCCCCCATCACTCAGCAGGAAGTTTTCCTGCAGGTGATGGCTCTGGGATGGCAAGTGGGAGTCTTGGTCCAGGACCAGTGGGTTTGAGGATGGCTGTATGAGAGCCAGGTGCTGTCGACCCACCTGTTCCCCATCACCTGAAGGCCCACTGTAGGCAGGGATACTCCTAGAGCACAGGATGGCCCTCCTGGCATCTCCAGCACTTTCCTCTCCTCTTTGCCTCGTGCCTCTGCCCTTTGCAGGGGTGGATGGGTAGCAGGAGCTGAGGACCGACTGCAGCTGTGGTGATAGTCATGACCCCGCGAGTCTCTGCCACCTCTGCGTGTTCAGGAAACCAGTCCCGCTGGCATCGTTTGGCTGCTGCCTGGCACCGAGTCTCTCCCAGTTTGCTGAAACTGCTGGGCACAAGCATGGTGGGGATCTGTGCAGCAAGCGTGCTCGGGGTCCGGGACAGGGAATAAAGGCGGCATCCGGGGGCGGCATCCGGGGTGAGGGGTAGGAAAGCCGAGGGCAGCGGGACCCCTAGGGCGGTGGGGATCCCCGGGGCAGCGGGGACGCCCACGAGGCCGGGGGACCCCGGTCGGGCGGCGGCAGGGCCGGGCGGCGGGGCCGCTGTCCGCGGTGCTGAAGCAGCGGCCGGGTCGAGGCTCCACCGGGGATGGCGGAAGGAGCATGGAGCGAGATTCGGGCAAGATCGGGGGGCTAGGGGGCTTCTCCTCGGCTCCACCTTCCCGCTGCTCAGCTGGGGGATGTGAGGGATGCGCCTGCCTGGGTGGACAGGAGGAAAGCACCCGCCGGAGCGAGGCAATGTCCACAGTCCCCACTCTCCCACCCTGAACAACGGGCACCACTCAGACATCCCGCCACACAGACCAGAGGGTGCCCAGTGTGATGCTGTAGGCCAGGACGGCCACCAAGTACGCCCGGAACAGCAGGACATCCAACACGTAGCCCACTTGCAGCCACTCGCGGGCGACATCACGGAACTCCTCGCGCTTCTCCAGGAACTGGCGGATGGCCGTGGTCTCACGCAGGACCCCCTGCAGTGCCGCTGAGCCCTCTGCCCGGCTGGCAAAGGTCAGAGCAGGCCTCGTGCCCCCCACCGCCCCACACTCACGGGGGTCCTCACAGCCATAGGGTGTCAGCTTGGCTGCAAGATCAAGAGAGGCAAGTATAAAAATCCTATTTAGATGGAGAACTGAGATTTCTGTGAGTGAAGTGAGCATCCAGTCTATACAAACATTGACTACATTGATGTAGATGGCTATGTAAGACCTAGACCCCTTCAGTTCCCTCTCTGTGCAGCCCTTACCTGTGCTATCATTGTTCTCTGCCTGCCTGGAGATGTCCGAGCTCTGTGTCCTGCTTTGGCTGAATTTCTCCCTGTCCCGGATGCAGAGCAGGACAGGGGCTCGTTCCAGTAGCAGGTGCTTCACCCACTCAGGGACATGGGGCTGCAGGTCTTGCTTGTGCACCAGGCGCACGATCAGGATGGTCTCTGTCAGGCTGATGACGAGCAGCGCCATGCACACCACAAAGTAGATGCCTGTGGAGGTGTCATTGAGGTGAGTGGCCTGCAAGGGCTTATGCACAGAACACAGGCCCAAGCGAGTGCTCCCTGCCCAGCTCTCAGGGCCCTGTGTTCTCAACCCAGGACTGCCATGGCAGTCAGATGGGCAGGTAGTACCTCCGTACCTATCAATGGGGTGCCAACGGCAGTAGCTGGCAACGTGTCAGATACAATGATGAGGAAAACTGAGTAGCCTAGCAGGAGAGTGATCTTGAAAGAGACCCTCTCACCGCTGTTGGGAGGTAGGTAGAAGCCCACAATGTCCATAACCATCAGGAAGATGCTGGGGAGCAGCAGGCTGACAGTGTAGAAGAGGGGGCGCCTCCGGATGACTACCTGCAGGACAGAGAGACAGGAAAGGCTCAGTGAAGGGTTGAAACAAGGCCTTGAGCTGTAGTGGCTCTTCACCAAGGCACGTGAGGACGGTTGGAGGCACTAAGGTGAGCCAGAGGAAGGGCTCAGTGCCAGGAACTTCCCACCCGCAGGCAGGAGCACTGCAGCACGGAGCAGTGACAGGGATAGGGGCAAGACCATTCCCTCGTGCCACATCTCTGAGAAACGCAGTGGTTGAAGGTTCTTACGTAGAATTTCATCTCAGCGTAGCTGTCACTGCTCTTGACACTGAACTCCTGGGAGTGACTGAGGACGTAGAGCAGCTCCCACTCGCCCTGGTTCATGAAGACACTCTGGTCGAACTTGACCAGCTCCGGTTGCCGCCATAGCGAGAGGTTGATGTCACGAACTGGGGGGTCGGAGGAGAGGTGAGAACTTAGGGGTGCCTTGCCCAAAGCGCAGGCAACTGCCGGCACCTCCACGCAGGGCTGGGTGCCTGCCCTCCCCGCACGCTTCCCCGATCCGCTGGGGCCATCTAGAGGGACGAGTTGCCTTCTGCACGGAGCTCCGGCCCGGCAGAGGTCCTGCCTGCTCCCTCAGCCTCCCCAGCCGCGGAGATCCCGGCACTCACTGTGGTGCAGCCAGCTGGTGAAGGTTAGCGAGCAGTTCTGGACGTCGAAGGGGAAGTTGTAGATGTCCAGGCTGCAGGTGGTCATCGCCTGGATGGGTTTAAGGTTCTGCACCTCCCCGTGGTGGCTGACATAGACATAGGGGACGTGGGGGGACTTTCCAACATCCACACTGGGAGACACGAGGGACAGAGATGTGGGCTGAGGAACTCTCTGGGCAGGGGTTCTTCCTGCCAAGTGATGTTTCAGGAGGCTACTGCCCAGGAGCAGGGGGTTTGCCCCCTCCTCTGCTTTTATGGTGATACTCATGCAGGCATTTCTGCCTGGCATCACCTCTGACTGCCTGGGTTGCTGCCTTCTGCCAGCCCTAGAAGTGTCTGTATTGTTGTCCCAGGGCCCTCGGGAGCCACAGAGAACACCTTAAATCCCCACAGAGCAGGAAGGACACCGGCTGGCTTTGTGGGAAGGGCCAGCAGCTCTAGCAGCTGCCCTTGCATTGTGCTGCCTTCACAAAGCCTTTCTCCAGATATCTGGATCCCACCCCTGGCACGGCGCGGATAATTACCGGCAGTTGCAGTTAGCCAGCATTGGAAATGGCCCAACTGCCAAGCCGATCCCCATCTGCATCTCCCCATTGTGGGGAGGCTGCCAGCTCTGTGCCAAGAATACAAAGCATGGGATGGCACGTGCCCGCAATGGGAGAGGGAGGTCCAGCCCCAGGCCATCTTCCCCCAGACTTCGGCCGTACTCACAACTCATTGATAAGGATGTCAGGCACCCAAATGCTCTCCATGGGGAGAGAGATCTGTGTCAGGTTGTCAAAGCGAGCCGGGTCCCACCTGAGGAACTCATCTGTCCAGTGCTGGGGACAACAGAGAGAGGACTTGAAGCACGAGGTCCCTTCTGCCCTGCTAGCACACAGACCCCAGACTTGCACCAAGCAATCTTCCCCCCATGGGAGGGAGGAAAGTCTCATCCTCTAGCTATTACAACACCCAGCAGTGCAAAACACAGAACATGAATGCTACAGAGGTCTTGCCAGCCCTTGGGATAGGTTCCCCCTCACTGCTCTCCTGCAGGGCTGCACACCCCTCCCATGGAAAAACCTGTGTTTTCAGGGGTGCTTGATCCCAGGGGAGCCTGGTAAGGGAGGGGTGAGGTTTCACAGCTACTCACCTGCCTGTACCAGATATAGGTGGTCAGCACCTGGTTCTTCTCATCCTGTGGGAAGAAGAGGACATGGTTTCAGAATGGGGGTATTGGCACTCCAGAAGATGGGCAGAGTATGCCAGGAGGGTGCTGCATGCCAGGTACCATTCCCCTCCCTGTGGATACATGCAGGATCAGAGCAAGGAACTCACCACACTGAGGATGGCGTAGACCATGAGGTCAATGGCCACAGTGGTAGTCGTTCGCCAGTCCCGCACAGGCCGGGTGCCCTTCTGGTAGTGGGCCAGCAGGTAGTGGGACAGGCGGTGCAGGGCGGGCTCGGAGGGCTCTGGTGTCCGGCCGCCACGCTGAGTACCTCCTAGCAGAGGGAGGGAGGGAGGCTGCTCACACTCGGGCAGCAGCTGCCATCACCCTGGAGTGTACCATGGACTGCAGGATGCTGCCAGCTGCCAGCCCACACTTACCAGTTGGGGTTTCCCATCCAAGTTAAATAGGAGCATCTTGATGGAAAACAAGCCTGACCACCAGAAACACTACCTAATGCATTCCTGATGTCCTCTGCTGTGCAGGTGGTTGATGCTGTGACCTTTCCAGCGTCAGAGGGCACAGCTGCCAGTCTCTGTTTCTCTGGACAGGTGCCAGGACAGCAGCAGCAGGGGACCATGAGGGACCTGCTGCCCCCAGGTACGTTTCCTACTTCTCACTCCTTCCAGGGGTGTCTCTTTGCTCAGCAGGTGGAGGTAGAGAAGGTTAGAGAGGAAACAAGATGCTAAATTAATTTATTAGGTATCTTGGTGTTTGCTTCCTATGGAAACAGTCCCTGGGCTGACACTGGCAGCGTCAGTCGAGGGCAAATTGCTTGAGGTACCCTGTCCTCGCTGCCAGGCAGCCCGAACGCCGCAGCCACACCAGGGCAGCAGTGCTGTGCTCCTGGCTCTGCTCTGCAGCACACCCAGCCCCAGAGTCCAATTCCCATCTAATGGAAGAGACTAATTGGAATAGATCTGCAGGAACTTGGGGAAAGCTGCTGGAAGGGAACTTTAATCTGTGTTTTAAACTGAAAAAAAGAAAAAACCTGCAACCTCAGCCCCTCTTACCTTGCACATGACTGGTAATGCCAGGGAGCTGGCTGGGCACATGACCCTGACCCAGGCAGGTATAAACTGATAGAGGCAGTGGGAGTGGGGGAGAGAGGCAGCAGTTAGGGTGAGGGGAGGAAATACAGGCACTGCCATCATCTGGGGCCAAGTGGCCTTTCCTGCTGCAGCTGGTGGCAGCTGGCTCTCGCTCATGCTCCTCGTCACACCCTCTCCTCCTCCTCGCACCCTCTCCTCCCCCTCACACCCATACCACCCAGCTCTGCATCTAGATACTTTGGCAGGAGAAAAATGGCTTTGCAGAGGGAGGACTGGGCTGAGTTCACCCCAAGTGCTCTTTGACCCTGCTGCGGGCACCATGCTGGTCTGCTTGGCCCAAATCTGTGCTGATGCAACCCGGCACAGCCCTGGCACATGAGGGCGTGTCTGCATAGCCCTTCCTGCCTCCTAACCAGCACTGCCAGGGTGAGAGTGTCATTGTTTCTGCTCCTTTTCTGATACCTTTGCTGTGGTAACAGTGGGAGAAGATTTGGGAATTGGGAATGATGCCCCAGTGACAGGAGCTACATGACACATCCAGAGATCTGAGTCACCAACCTGCTGAACACTTCCAGCTGTGCTGGTGCAAAACAGCACAAGGATTTTTGTGCTATTTCCCAGGAAGGTTAAACAAGAAAACAATAAAATAACAATGATAGCAAGGGAATATTTTGATGGTCAGTTTTGCACCATGAAGAGCTGCAGAGCATCCTCCCCAAAACCTAGATCCGGGTTATAAGGGATGAAACATTAGTCTGGAGAAAGCTCTTGATCAGGTGGGGGGCTCATGCAGCAGGAGACCCCTGTGTCTCTCTCTGTCCTCAGGGCTCTCAGCACAGCTCCAGAGTACTGCAAAGCCCACACGGATGAGCCCTCAGTGCAGAGCTGGGGTCAAACACCGCACTGCCTTGCTGCTCGTGCTCCCCAGGCAGGATGTGCCTCTAGGCTTCACACCGGAGCTTTCCCATGCTCCAGCTTCTCCCAGGTGCACCACTTCCCAATAGCATGAAGGTCTGCCTGAAAAGTAGCCTTAGGCTGCCACACAGCACTGCTGGGGTTTTGGGAAGGCATTGCACCATGCCAGGTCCCTGCCCTGCCCCAGCTCCCCAGCCTTGCCCTCAGGTCCCTTGACTTACCTGGGCTCTGCAGCATCAAGGCCAGTGGCAGCAGGGCCAGGAGTGCCCCAAGAGTGGTGGGAGTCATGGCTCTGCTGGCTCCAGCCACTGCCTGCTCGGCAGAGGAGTGAGTGGAGCAGGGAGGCAGGCAGCACTCGTGTGGCTTTCCCCCCGCCGTTGGGTTTTTGAGAACGCCCAGTTAATCTCGCGATCAGCCTCTCCCACTGCATCAAGTTTCAGGATGGGAGGATGCAAGAGGGGCCCACCCAGCCCCCCCCCCTGCTGGTTTCTCCAGGGCTACCCCCATCCTCTGCCCAGGCACCTGGCTATGACAGGGTGGGTTTTGGGGTACAAGCATCATGCCAGTATGCAGCAGAAGTGGGGAGCATGACCTGGGGGCAAAGGGTGCTGCAGGTGCCAGAGCTGTGCCAGGAGATCCTCAGCAATTGGAAAGATGGGGGAAACCCTCTGAGAGGTGGGAATCAGGGGGTCTGTCTCAGGATGTGGTACCGGCACAGGGTGGGTTTCCATCAGGAGGAGAACAGGGGACTCTGGAGGTACTAGGCTGCCCTTCACACTCTGTGGTGGGTGGATCTGTCCCACTGACAGTGAATCTGACAGATACAGGTGGTGGCACCATGTGCTGCCAGCCCTCAGTACCCTGGCCTGAAGCAGCAGCTTTCCCTGACCCCTAGGACCTGCACCAACACTGGAGTCTGTTTTCATTGCAACAACTTGCATTTGCTGTAAATTTAAACGAACAAAAGTGCTTCCTATGGGTTTCAGTTTCCCCAAATATTTAACACCTTTGGGCAAACATAAGCAAACGCAAGCAAAGACAAGACCACAAACAAAGGCTGGTCTGGTATAACTGAGAGTCAAAAGGCACCTGATGTCCACCCAGGCATGGGTGCCCTACTCACTACAGATTTGTCCCTCCATGTAACATCACCGTGGCCTTCGGCTGGACAACATCCCTCTGCCTGGCAGGGGAGCCTCCCCCTGACCCCAGCCACTGTAATTCTCAGTATTCCTGTATGCATATGCTGTGCTTGTGTGCGTTGTAGGTTCCCATGCCCCTGCGAAGCTGCCAGCTGCTGGAAACGCGGGGGAAGTGGCGGGCAGGGACTGGAGCCTGCGGCAGTGGCGTAGAGCAAATCGCATCAGATGCCAGCATGGACTCACTTAAACGAGATAAGAATTAGTGCGGGCCCCTGATGAACTCCCCCTTGGCTGCCAACAGCGGTGTCAGGGAGAGAGCGAGAGCAGAGCCAGGGCTAATTTGATTTCTCAGCTCCGTTAGTGGCTGGCAAGTCACCTCCTGAGGAACGCCGGCAGCTCGGAGCGCTCTCCCCTTATTGAATCTGGGTAATGAAAATCACGGGCAGCGCCACCACGGCGCCGGGGACTGTGCCCCACTCTGCCCCCTCTCCTCTGGCCTCCTGTGTCTGCAGCGGGCAGGATGCGGCTGAGGGGGCACAGACCGCTCCAGTGGAGCCTCTGCTGCAGCGTCATTAACTCTCAATTTTCTCCCTTGGGTTTTACGTCTTCATCTTAAGGAGATTTTAATGTAGTTCCTATCAGCCCTCCTGTTATTGGATATCTAATTAACGTGATCTACTGTAGCCTCGTGTTACGCGCGCGCGCAGGGGGCTCTTGCGGGACATTTTGTGGGATGGCTGATATCAATCGGCAGCGCCCGGATCAGATTTACTTTCCAAAATGGCATAATGGGATTTTATTATCCCTGTAATCTGCTGCACAGTAATTGCTTTTCTGGGAATCAAAGTGGTTGGCGCCTGGGGCTTCCCACAGCTCGGCCCCACATCCTGCCTGGGCTCTGCTGCAGCCAGGCATGGCAGCGTCTCTGTGCTGGGTTGGAGACTCGGGGCTCTTTCCTAGAGCAGCCATGCTGCAAGCAGGTTCTCTGGGTGCTTAGCCCAGAGCTGCAGTGATCTCAGGGACTGGGGAAAGCACAGGGGCACAGGAACAAGGTTCCCACCATGTGATGGGACAAGTGATGCTCCATACATGCCCTCTCACTCCAATGTACAGCATTACACACCACATTACCTTGGCAGCTCCCACCCCATGCCATGGGACATGCTGGGGGCTGCCGGGGCTGTGGCAGGAGCGTAGTTGGGCTCTGCACAGGATGGGGGATTGCAGCCAGGCTGGGGACCATGGTTGGAATGGGGAGGGAGGCCTCAGCTGACATTACAGAGCGGGTAGGAGAGGGAAGCAGTCCTCCTCTGGGCTGCCAAGACTCGCCTTTCAGGGTGCGTTTGGAGCGTCAAAAGCAATAAAGCATCAGTGAGGAGCCCTGGTAACGCGGCTTCCTGCCAGCCCCGGCCCCAGCACGCACTCGAGGCCGCCCATTACGGAGCCTCACTCTCCCCGAATTGCATGTCTGCTATGATTTAACGCTGTGAGACATGAAATAAACACCACAGGCAGGCAGGGCTGGTGGCGCAGGCATGGCCAGGCTCTCGGCAGCCCCTGCTCTCGTGCCAGGGGATGCAGGACTCTCCTGTGGGGCAGTGGTCCTCAGGGATGCTCGAGCTCGCTGCACCCCCAGGGCGCTGTAAGCAGTCAGGGGGACACATGGGATCTTTGCTCCAGCATCGGCCTTGTGCAGCTCCAAGATAGAAGCACAGACCAAATGCTGTGAGTGGCTGCCCAGTGTCATGCCCCTGGATAATTTAACTTAATTAGGGGATGCTGGTAGCTTTGCCCTGTGGGTGTAAACTGGGTAGTCCACAGAGTAGCCAAAAATTGCTTGTGGCAGGTACCAAGCATGTTCTCACCCCAGTGAAAGAGCCCAATGCCTTTAAATCCCCCAAGAAAGGGAAGGGATCTCCTTCCTTTCAGTCCTCTCCTCCATTAGACACCCTTCAGGTGTTTGCAATATTCTGCCACTGTTTCACTACCATTAAAGCCAGGTAATAATATGTATGTGAAGGTATTTGGAACCCATTGCTGTTAATGAAGGAGATCCTGCTCATCCTGAGTGGGACAGCAGCCACACATTGCAGGCTCAGCACCATCCAGTCAGGCAGGAATTGCCTTGCTGAGAGCGGACCCAACTGGTGTTTCATCTTCTGTGGCTGCCTTTTCCTTTCTGCTTTTGTTTTTTAAAGGAGGCCTGTGCCGGAGGCTCACTGCAGAGAGAGGGATGGTGTGCTCCAGCACTGTTGTGGCTGAGTGCCACTACCATGGGAGATACCCAAGGCTTGTTTGTAGCAAGGATTGTACACCAGCTGCCTTGATGTAAAAACTTGTGCCTGCCTTCCTCCCCTTTCACCCAGCTCTTCTCTGTGGCTGGAGTTTCTGGGAAATCTTTCCAATCAGGAACAGCCTTGTGTTTCAACAAAACCACACTGTCAATTACAGGTGGGTATTTTTCCCTTCATTTTCTGGAGAAAATGAGAAAGATTTCAAGCAAATTGGAAAGGTTAATTTGGGCTGAAAAGGCTATTAGCTTGTAGTGTGAAACATCTTAAAAAGTCATGCATAAGAGTCTTCTCCCTCTTGTTTCTGGTGGAATCCAGCACATGGAGAAGTGTGGCAGTGCTGGAGAGGTTGGACAGTGTTGCACAGTGTGTGAGGATAGCCCTGGAGGGCGTGGTGGCAGGAGACATTGTCCATTCTGGGTTTTTTATTTTTAAAGCACCTACAGTGCAAATTGCTTCCTTTTGCTAAGTCAAGACTGTGGAAAGCTCTCAAGGTGTGGAAAGAGCGGGGTGAAGGCATGTCTGCAGCTTGTTCTGTCTGAGTGTACAATCCCCCCGTATTAAATTATCTTGGATGTAACGGTGCTGTGACTGCACTTGATGCTGCAAACAAATTGTTCTGCACCCTAATTAGCCACCATAGTATTAATCAGGCTGCTAAACATTAAACACAGCCTAGACAAAACCTGGAGCTAAAAATACAAAGCTGAGCTTATCTTTGTAACTGAGACATTCAGAATTTTTACAGTTTGTAGTTTAAGGTAGGGAAATCCTGGGGACCCCTCCCTGAGCAACTAAGCTGGGACAAAGCACCATTCCCTCAGGAGCACACGGGGATCCTAGAGCAAAAATTCCATTGCCCTGCACCGCCTCCTTATCTTTCACTATTAATAGCCTGGCAGGCTCCCAAAAGGAACAGAATTTACTTTGTTGCACTTTAACTTCACTGGGCGTCTTGTTTTATTTTGCATTATCAAGGAAATTGGATAACACTGCTGGCTTCTTCAGTTTTTCCTTATCAACCTTGCTGTTTCCTCGTCCTTGCCTTCTCGCCTCCCCAGTTCCTCAGCTGGAGTGCATTTGAGAACCAGGAGGCTGAGACAATCCCATAACAGGCCACACTGAGATTCCCCATACCTCTTCCAAAAAAAAAAAAAAAAGGTGAGGGATGCTCTGTGCCTGCCCACAGAAATTCCAGGTATGAGATGCCCACCCAGCTGGAAAAGGGCTTCTTCATCAGGGAATTGGCAAAAAGGGGATGGTGGTCGCACTGTCTCCTGCCACTGTCTGTCCTCCCTCCCACAGTGACACAGCTCCATTGGGAACACCAGCAGTGCTACGGCCACTGGGGTCTCCGAGGCACAATGGGGGACAAACCCAGGCTGGTAACTTAAGTGACACATTCCTGATGATGTAGGATGGTGCCCTGGCAGCACCGGGCCAGCACCGGTGGACACGTGTCAGACGCAGCTTGGATCAAAATGGGGAAAATGGTCTTTTCCCATTATTGTTGTAATTAAAAGAAAACAATTCATTTTTATCTGTCCAGAGGGGCACAGCAGGGGCAGAACGCTGGCTGCGGTCAGTGTCCCCAGCTGCTGGGGTGGGGACCAGGGAGAACGGATCCCATGGCCGGGGGATGCCCGGGGGCTGTTTGTGGGGTACAGTACATGGCCAGACAGACAGACACATGGCCGGACACACAGATGGACACACGGACACAGGGCTGGGAACGCGGACGGAGACACGGACGGACACACGGACGGACACACGGACGGACACACGGACGGAGACGCGGACGGACACACGGACACACGGACGGAGACGCGGACGGACACACGGACACACGGACGGACACACAGACACGCGGACGGACACACGGACACACGGACGGACACACGGACGGACACACGGACACGCGGACGGA